GCAGCCAGCCAAACTGCATCTGCCTTTCCCCAACTTGTGGCTCTTATCATTTACCAATGTCGCTTTTGCTGGCTGGTAGATTTTCATTTAATAAACTGTGTCCCCTACATATTTACCAAATAGTCAATTCTTATAAGATTATAGTATAGATTTCAGAGTTACATTCTTACATTTGTAATCTCCCAAAATTTTTCAGTGCATGAGAGTCTAGTTTTTTCTTCCACCTCCTAGACTTAAAATATCCTGCTTCTGTTTCTAATTTCCTTATATCTGCTTACTTTTTGTGTGATTTTTTACTAGCAATAAATGTCATTTTCCATTTCAGAGCTAGGATTACAGTCTTTGAAGGATAGATGGCAGGAATATACTCTTTTTATTTTTACCATAAAGAGAAAAAGGGTTTTACTTTTCCTCCATAGTCACATTCTTGGTAGGTTTTCTATATAGGTTTCCAATTTCTCAAACTTGAAATAATACAATAACTCTAATAGCCCCTTTCAAGAATCATGGCTCTCACCATGAAGCGCATCCAATCTAATTCAGGAAAAAAAATAAACAAACAGGCCTGATACTTTTATTTTCTGTTGAATTTACTTAAAGTCTTATTATATGTGAGAGAGATGAGAATAACAAAAAGATACATATATACCACGAATACAGATATAAACTTTACACATACACAAACACATATTTACAACAGATATACTATATATATATCTGTGTGTGTGTGTGTATAATTTGAATATATTCATATACTTAATTTATTTATATATTCATGACATTCTAAGGGTTATTATAGAAGGCACAAAAAATATCTCACATGGTATGTTTCCTTTCTGTCATTTAGAAGAAACTAAACATTGGGAGTTGTGAATGTCCCTTTGGATATATATGCCTTTTATTTAAATGATACAAACCTCCAAGGATGATCATTAGAGGCTTAACCCAGGCATGACAAATACTTGTCAAGTTCTGTTAACTCATGATATAGTGTTGTTTAGCGCACTGCATTTGGAAAGATTTGGGCCATGACAGGTCTTGGTAAAAATGAATGTTGTCATTTCTCAATTCTGTCAATAACTAACATCTTCAGGAGGTAACAAAGTAATCTATTCATTATCTAATTTCCTGCTAAATGAAGCCCCTCCTCATATTTTTTTATGAAAAGATATATAAACTCATATTCAATGAGCAGGATTTTGCTGAGTGCTTCAATCAAGTATTATGTTTTAATCATTATTGGATTATTGAGTTAATTATTAAGCATTAGTAAAACTTGCTAATTCAACTTAATTGAAGGTGAGAGTCACCCAACTTAGGAAAATGGAATACAGTGTCATTATATTAAATTAATCTACTTAACTAGGGTTGGAAAAAGGGTAGTTGTAGTCAGGAACAGCAAGGGTCCCATTCACAAACTACCAGATAGATGTGGCCCGTAGCACCGTGCAAGACACAACCTGCACAACCACAGCCCTAGTGCCCATATATAAAAAAGGGAGTACTACAGAATATAATAATGAACTTGTTTACCCTTTTACAGCTTGCAAAGGGAAGATAAAGGTATTGACATTACTAAAACATATAGCAAAGGTTTTATTTCCCTTTTGTCGTTGTCAAATAATTTATTTAATGCACATAATCTGTAAGCTAAATTGGAAAATGTGTGGAAGACTTTAATATAGCATCTGTTCAAAGCACTCACAATTTAAAATTAGCGAGGTTCAATTTATTGATGTTTTATTGACCTGCCACTTTACTTGTTTTGATAAACAGTAGTGACTCAACGGAGATCAGCAAGCAGATAATTTCCCTGGACAATAATATATTTTTTTCTTTAACAATTTATTTAAAGTACTGGAAGTACTTTTTCAACATCTCCTGGCATTCAGACATTTCATGGACTGGTGTACGTTCTAAAGCTAGCAGTCTTAGAAGATTACAGCCTCTGGATAGTGGGCAAACATTGTGCACACTTGGTAACATACACAAGGGGAGGGAGGTAAAAATTCTAACGTGAAAGGACACTCCATTTTGTAGAGGAGCTAGATATCAGAGAAACTCAGCCTTCTATGCTGTCTAGCATGACTTCCTGGCTATACTTCTCCACCTTTGATGCTTGTGTTAATGTGCAAATGCATTAGCTTTTCTGTGGACTTGTATATCAAATGTCAAAGGAAACCTGGATCACCAAGTGATTTCCTACAATAAACAAAGAATCAGCAGTTCACTCTCTCCCTTGCAGTTGTGATGGATGAAGTAGACATCTCCTCCTTTGCTTGGTGCTCACGCAGGCAAGGCAAATGGGGAAAAATCCATGAAGTTGGAGGACCTTCAGTGATTGTAAAATTTGCTCATATAATGCGGAGGGATGTCCGAGTGGTTATTCATTTTTAAAAGCTCTTCATTCAATCATTTATTCACTCATAAAAAAATATTTATTAAGTGCTTATGTCCCCGGCATGGTTCAAAATGGGAGAATAAAGTGGTGAAACTAGACAATAAATAATCATTGCCCTCATAACATGTATATTTTAGCAAGAAAACCAACAATTAACAAACGAGTTAAAAATATATATATGCACACACCTATACATTCTATAGATGATATGATGGTGAAAAGAGCTCTGAGGAAATACATAGTTAAGAGGGCTAGAGCCTAATGAGACAATGAATGGCAATGTGAAATCAGACAGCAGTGATGATATGAAACAGAATAGAATTGTGCACACATAATAATATTGTGTGGTCAGGGAAGGATTTCCTGCAGAGCTAACAGCTGAGCCAAGACCTGAATGACAAGGAGATAGCTGTGCCAATACACTGACGGATAATCTCCACAGGCCCTTACTGAGGAGGGAGCCTGGAGGATGGCATGGAAGGAAGGCTGCAAGTGTGGAGCCGAGGAAGTGGGCAGTTGGACAGGGAGAGGTAAAATCCCAGAGATAGACAGGAACAGGACAACCTGGCCAATGGAAGATCTTCAGGTTTCATCTGGGTCTGTATCTATAGAGAGCACCTTGACTGTGGGGTATATTCCCCAAACCTGGACCAGAGAGCTGTTCCCTCCCTCCCTGGCACCCTGTCAGCCATTCAAACAAACACTGATTCAGTCAGACTATCAAACAAACACTGATTTGCCAGATATGATGCTAAATGTTGAGCATCCAAGGGAGGCACTGCTAGCTCTGGCAAAATATATATATATATATATATATATATATATATATATATATATATATATATATATTTCAGTGGAGAAGAGCACCTCAAGGTCTAAGAAGGAAAATGTATTAGTGATATTTATAATAAAATAGGGTTAATATAGACAACAGTCTAGGTCCAAGATATATGTAGCAATAAAACAGTATTTCATCTTATATATTTTACCCCAAAAAGTCATTCCTAAACTATCTACTATGAAAATAAAATAGATTAAAAAATAATCCATTTACATAGTACTTCATAATTGTCTATGTCTTTCATATGCAGTAATAATCACAATAGTTGTGACACAGGTCAGTCAACTATAATTATCTTCTTTTTAAAGATGAATAAGCTGAAGCTCTGGGAATTTAAATGCCTTGTCCACAGTCATGAAATGAATTAGTAATGTAGGCAGACCTAGCATTTTTCTACCCATTCAATATCACCAGAAGTTTGGTCTGAGGTAAACATAGTAGAAAATGTTTACCCAATAGTACTAGGCATTTTGTTCAGAGGAAAGAGGGAGAGAGAACATACATATCATCCTCATTCTTAAAAAACATAGGGTGTACCTAGGGAGGTGTTCAGATGAGCACCAGATACTAATTTGTGTGAAAATTCAGTCTGCATGTAAGTGTCAAGGAATAATCATTAGTGGTATAGCATTATTGAGAACCTTGTCCTGAGAGAAGTTTTTAAACTGGGCATATAAATTAATTAATTATGTTGTTAGATTTTGATTCTTTTACATTCTGAAATGGTTATTTTTTCTTTTCTTTTCCCATTCTTAAAATCACTGTCAATCAATGAATCTTATGCATCATTTCCTCTGAGTTTATCCATCTCTTTCTCTCCCTTCTCTTCTCTCTCTCTCTCTCTCTCTCTCTCTCTCTCTCTCTCTCTCTCTCTCTCTCTCTCTCTCTGTCTCTGTCTCTGTCTCTCTCTCTCATCTCCCCTCTCTCTCTGCCAAAGACTTCTGCCTAGGTACTCTAGAAAACCTTCCTCAGCATTCTCTTTTGTTTGTCTTATTCCCAGCTCTAAGTCTGTTGCCAAGATTTCTGTTTGAATGATCTCTTCCTAGAATGCTAAATTGTCAACGTTTAGAAAAGCTTCATTCATTTTATCTTCCTCAATTTTTTAGAAAATCAATACAGAATTCTATTCAATATGCAGCCATGAATTTATTGCTTTACTAACCAAATATTCTCTACTGCTCTCAGTTAGTGCAATGCATTTATTTTTCCAAGTTTTGCTTCATGTCAACAAATGTCTGTTTCTATTAACACTGATTATTTTACATTACATTTTATAATGAGCCAGCACTTGGCATACCATCACATAAAAATGCATTTGATGTTTTCAAGTAACATCATTGTCTTGTTACAAATATGGCATATATAATCTTTTTGTTCCCGCTACAAATGCAAATTCTTTGATAATTAAAAATTGCCAATAATACATGTCAATTACCAATTTATTAAGACACAAAAGAAAAGTATACAGCTTCAATTACATTTTTGTGTTTTTGTGTTCACTGTCTTACTCTTCATGGTTATGCACTGATGCACAGCTGGGAATGTACTGAAGACAAATATTGAAGTCAAACCATCATGAGGTAGCAATATGCCAGATCCTATGCCAAGTGTTTTGGATATTCTATAGTTCCTATTAAGTCTCTGAATAATTAGTTTGCAATATGCATTTCCTTCTAAAAAATCAGTGGAGCTCCAGGCAAATTTTTAAAAATAGAAACTGCTGAGAAACTTCTTTGTAAAAAACAAAAAAACACTTACGGGAACCAGGAATTTTTTAATCTCTTCCAATGCATGACTCATACGTGAATAAGCTTCCCCAGGTGGAGCGAACACTTCAATTAACACGTGAAGTTCATCACTCAAGTGGGCATATTTGGCTTCCCCACTCTTCCTTAGCTCTTCTTCCTGTGAAAGAAGTTATTTTTAGAAATACAAATCCACTCATTTTGCATTGATTTAACATTCATTGAGATTGACAAAAGGATATAATGTAAGCAAATTTTCCATAAGTAGAAACCCTTTGAGAAATAAAAATCAGGTACAAGCCATTTAAAGATTTTTAAAAATCATTTTTGAGTGAATGATTAAAAAAAAAAAAAAAAGCTGGCACACTTATCATCTGCAACAGATTTTAATCAGCTAAATGAAAATGTTAAATCCCTGAGAAGATTTAGCAGAACTTCCATTAACTCTTCAGTGTGCACCACCACATTCTGGAAGAAAAGGATTGTTTTTACATTTGATAAGTAGGATTTTGCAAATAATAAACCAAAGATTATCACTATTCTTTAAGAGAACCAGAACTTTTTGGTGACATTTAAGGGGTGAAAGGTTATTTGTTTGCTATTAAAGTATGTAAAACCAATGGTTATCTCCCCAACAAGTTCCATTGACCCAGATTATCAATCAGCTTCACACCCACGTCTTCTGTAAAAATTTGTTGCCTCATTTTGGTCAATAGGAGTATGTTAAAGAGATGATGGATAAGTATTATGTTGGCGTTAATTATGCATGAACTACATATCCTCAGCTGAACTAACATTGCATTCCTATTGGACCAGATTCTTCACAATCCTGTACCAACTGATTAGTGAAGCCTGATTGGCTCTTCAATCTAGGTGAAGAGCCAAGCAGCATCTGATCCATATACTCTGCTAGTGTGTGCTACGTATTTTACACATATCATCTCTAATATCACAATAATCTTGCACATTACTCACAGATTTCAGATTAGAAAACTCAGTTTAAAAGACTCAGTAGCTTCAGCAAAATCAGAATTTGAACCCAGCTCATTTTGCAGTCAGAGTTGCATTTTTCTTTCAGGAATTCATAAAAGCAAAATTTTGTTAAATAATTAACACAAATAATATTGATTATATTTTATCTTTCTTGACACCCCTCCCCAATTATCTAACAGTTGTTTCATTAAATTTCAAAGGATTAAAAAAAAAAACAAAAAACAATTTTTAGTTTTATATGGAAATTAAATTGAAAAATTGACCCCAGTCGACCTAAGCTAGATAAACAAAAGCAAATTGGCTATTGATTTTAGATAAGTTAACTGTAGGGCCCAGGTTAATGTGTTTATCTGATTAGAAATGCCCATCATTTTGACACAAGGAAGGTCCATGATTGAAATGGGAGAAGAGGCAGCCTGCTTTCCTGCTCATTTCTCACCTACTCAGACCTTGGGGATATCAACCTCTTTCAGCCTGATAATCCACACTCCACTCCACTCTCTACATCTAACTAAGAGTTTTTATTTAAAAGAGTTTTTTTGAGTTCCAATCCTCAGTTTGGGGAAGAAAAGCAGAGTTTGACTAAAGGAGTAGGCATCATTAGGTGCAGGAAAAATGTGCTGGGAAGCAAGCTTCTTCTTATCTCAGGTGTCAGCTTCATTTACATAGAACTGCTGAGCTGTAAAACCAGGGATTGCCAGATTGTGACCTCTTCTCAATACTTCTTAAATTCATTTCCAGCTGGTTATTAAGGGTTACTCAGGAGCCATGTTTTATAAGACCTATGTACTGTGATATGTGGCTTTAAAAGAAGAATCATAACACTGATTTCTTTACCTCATCAAAAAAGACATTAAAGCCAGTCAGTGTGGCTCAGTGATTGAACATCAACCTATGAACTAAGAGGTCTTGGTTTGATGCCATCAGGGCACATGCCAGTAGGGGGAGTGCAGGAGGCAGCTGTGGATGAGTCTCTCTCATTATTGATGTTTCTATTTCTTTCTCCTTCTCCCTTCCTCTCTCTAAAATAAATGGAAACATATTTTTAAAAAGGTACTGGTTACTAAATATAAGGGATTCTAAATAAAGCCATTAGAAAATGTCAAATGCAGTTTTATATATCCCCAACCAATCCCCATGTTATGTCCTAAGGTAAAAATATAAGTAAAATATATCTGTTTTTATTAGTTATTTTACAGAGACTAACATGGCACTAAATGGAGTGTGACTGCATTCTTGCATTTAATTGGTAAGAATTTTAAAGGAAACCTTTTCACCAGAAATATTATTTGTACGTTATATTCTACAACAGACATATTCCTGACTTGTAAATAACTTATCAATTAGAAAATTTTGCTCTTAATTCAAAATAGAATGTTTATTGAATAAAACCTTTTTTAAAAAATCCTCAACGGTACAATTTTTTTTTAAATAAACAACTACACAATTCAAGATACACTTTTATCACTTTCAGGGTATTTTTTTTTCAAGTCTCCTTTTACTATAACAATAGTAATGAATTAAAAGTCAGAATGTTGGTAGTGCTTTCCATGGAGTATCCAATTCTATCTGCATGACTACACTTTCCGTTAGAAAAGGTTATTTCCCTCCTTTGGCTAATGAGGAGATTGTGGCACAGAGAAAGAAAATTATCCAGAATTACACGGAGTATGTATCACCCAGTTGCATTACCATCCAGGTTATCTGACATCCAAAGGTCAAACTGTGAATCACTATAGGCGTGTTGATGGTACAGGTACACAAGTGCGAGTAACTTTTTTAGACATTCATATTTCCCCAGGGTATCTCTAGTCTCTGGAAGTACTTGGCCAGTGTTCTTTCAGCAATTCCCTGGTATCCAGGCCCCCTAGTTCTGTGCTCTCCAGGGCACTTACAGCAGATTACAGATTTTTACACAAAAGGCTCATCTCCCTGAACACCCTTTCCTCCCTCTTCCCCCTTCCCCCCTCATAAGGGTCTGATTTCGTAGCTGTGTGCCCATCAGTGCCCGGTGAAACTACTATTTTCAACATTCTGACTAATTTCCTTTTTGAAGACCTTACCTAAAAATGCTAGTGACCTCACATCACGTTGTTCATTTCTAACTCTCTGTTTTGCAACCATCAGTTCCAAAGAAGGCATCCATCCAAAGTTTTTTTGAAGGGTGAGTTCAGATTAGTTTGCATAATTTCTCATAAATATTCATCTTGTATTCCTAAAACAAATGGGATTCATGAAGGATCTCTGTGTCCTTGAATACTCCTGGCAGGATTGGATAGGACCCTCCACACCCTGATTCTATTTGGGGGGATAGAGACTCAAGTCAGCCCGTAAATGGGTATTCCACCTTAGTTCAGATGATTCAAGACAAATTCCCAATCAGGACACAGCATCAGATGTGCTCTGGTACTGAGTCCGGCCATTTGGTCCCTGGATTTGCCAAACTCAAAATTTCTTAAAATACCAAAAAGATCCATTCTCAAAATCACTGATGGGTAACGTAGACTTCATTGAAAATATCATAGGGCACAAAGCAAAGAGGTCACATTGTTAATCTCATTAGGGACAACTAAAAAAAAAAATCTTCATTCTCTTGTCCCAAGCCCTTCCCTGCTTCATTACACAATTTTAATTTTTTTTCTCTATCTCTAATGTGCATATTACTCTCTCCTCCAGTCTGAAATTTCCTAGGGAATTGAAAATTATTTTCACCTCTATTAAACAGAGTAATTTAGTTATTGAATGGTAATTCCCAGCTCACATGTCCAGGTCATTATGGAGCTCAATGAAATAAAGGGAACACCAGTAAATGACACATTAGAAGTCACAGTATGGAAATGTACACGCATGTACACACACATACTCTCACACACACTAAAGCACTTTTTACAGTGTGATTCTAGCAAAAGTAAATGTTTCCATTTTGTCAAATTAATTAAGATAGTCATATGCTTTGGGCATTTTTTAAAGAATATGTTATAAGTTGCTCATAATATGATGTAGACAATATATTCCTCCTTTGTGTTTTCCTAAAAGAAATCCCATTACCAACACTGTCAGTAGAGAGAACACCTGAATAACTGAGTTGATACCTTACTTGTCATTTTTAAACACCTATGTGTTCATCTAGATATATGCATAATATGTCATGTAATATACATTTTATGTTGTCTTTTCTTAAATATCTAATTATAAGAGAAGTAGTCTTTAAACTATCCATTTAACTGATTCACCAGATTAACAAAATATTTTTCCCTCAAAAAATATATAAGCTAATGTGCAAGATAATATGATGGTTTGAGCTTCTGCCACCTAAATTTTATAAACTAGGAATCATTTCTTCCAAAACTTATTTATACCTGTTGTATTTGTTATTTTATTTTTAAAATAAAATTCCTATTTATTTCAAGTTTTAATTTATCAAAATATTTCCAGATAAAAAACATATAGGTTAAGATAAAATTTACTGCATCATAAATTGCTTCTATAGTTAAATTAAACCCTTCACATCTCATAATACTTAATTCCTAGATCAAAATATTGCAGAATCATTCTAATTTGTGATTTATCTTTGTATATTTCTGTTTCATCATTTTCTGAATATACAAGTATATCTGATAGGACACATAAAAGATACTCAATACTTTCTTTTTGCAAGAGGGTGAATGTTAGGTTGCATTTTTTTCCTGTCATACAGCCATATCTTTACTCTTTTGTCATGCTAAAGTTTTCTTTAAATGTATAAAGATTTATTGTCTTATGACTCTAGGATAGAGTGATTTATATTTATTAACATGATTTTCTTTTTAACTTGGAAAAATGTGTCCAAATTATTATTTCATTCAATGTGTTTCCAATTATATTAATAATAATGTATAGATAACATATATGCCTATTCAGTTATAATCTATATATATAAAAGTCTAAGTGCACATTCTACTGTTCAACTGGTAGCTATGGTGTGCACTGACCACCAGGGGGCTGATGCTCAGCTTGCTACTGGTGTCCAGCTGATCAGGACTGGATAAGAGAAACTGGACATGCCCTGGAGCCCTCCTGAGGTCCCTCCTCAGCCCCCATCATGCACTGGTGGGGTCCCTTGGCCTGGCCTGCTCCCTATCACAATTCAGGACTCCTAGGGGGGATGTCAGAGAGCTGCAGGGCAGG